CCCCTTAGGCGGGGAGAGAGAGAGAGAGAGAGAGAGAGAGAGAGAGAGAGAGAGAGAGAGAGAGAGAGAGAGAGAGAGAGAGAGAGAGAGAGAGAGAGAAAGTACAACCAAGCGACCCGTTGTGCGTGTGCGTGTGTGTGTGTGAGAGAGAGAGAGAAAGAGAATCTGAATGGGGCGCTGAATGCGTCCACATTTAGACACATCTGTGGCAAGCGTCGTTTCGGTCTTTTCCGCCCCCACGCCCTTTCCTTTTTGAAATTCGCAGCTCAAGGACCGCTCAAGGACCGCGACCTGCGCCAACCCAGTGCGCGTGCGCGGTCCCACGAGCAGCTACCGGTCCAAAAGAAACTGCCACTAGCTGCCACTAGCCCCTAAAGTGACCTGCCTGCACGTGCCTGCATTTTTGGAGCCTTCCAATGACCAACCAGCCGGAATGAACGACCGGTATAACGACGACGACGAAAAATGTCTTCTGGGGGGGGGAAACGCAACCCTGACAGGCTGCGAACTTGCTGGAGTGTACCGGATAGCATGCATGTAACACAGATCACACAGATTGCAATGTCTCACACGAAGTTCAATGGAAGATGAGTGGAAACCAGGAAGCGTAACTCAATTATCATAACCAGATTCAAGAAAGAGAATCACAAGTTCAAAATGTATAGCGCCCAACAGAATTACAAGTCTTCTTCATCCAACAAGAATTCAAGGCCTGGCGCTCAGCGGCGCCAGCTGCCAATCATTAAGGACGGCGCTCCATAGGTAAGTCACACCATAGCTCACTTCTCTCTCTTCTCTCCTGGTCTCTCTCTTCTCTCCTTCTGTCTATAGTCCTGGTCTTCTCACACTCACCATGCATGCACACTCCCTGTCTCACGAGGATCTACTCTGAATACTACTCACTGGTTCTCTCTACTGACTATTCTTACTACTAACACTAACTAGCACTGGCGCAGCTATGGCCGCCTTCCTTCCAGCCAGCACCCGACTCTCTCTTCCTTCAGCGCAGCTCTCAAGCCTAGCGCTGCTCAATCACATCTGGCGCACAAGTGCCTTCAGCACTTCCACACTCTCATGCGTGGTCCGAGTCAGAATCGACTCGTGGGGCTATGACTGGTCTGGGACTGTGACCGTTGACTTATTGTCGAACAGACATGACCCTATCTCAGTCTTAAAATTTGAACCCAGTACCTGTTCGTCGAGGACCTGACTGTGACTATTCAAAATGACTTTTCATCTCACACTGGATGCGACATTTGCCTCGGGGAACTTGTGTTTTGGAACGCTGCTCGTGAACTTGATTTCTGACGGAGAGGGCCTTTTTATGTTGGGGTCACATTTACGGGTCTGAATCATAAGGCAAAAAAAAAAACAAGAAAAAAATTAATTCGTTTTTTTATCTTCTTTCTTACAACTCCCCCTGTTCATAATTTGTCACAGCCCCTCAGTTTGTTGTCCTCTTCTCCCTCTCTGCCTACGGTTTATTGGGCGGCTTTGTTTGACGATATACGTATATGGGAGAAGAGGACACCAAACGAGGGGCTGTTACAAACTGTTTCGTCGGAGTTTCACCCACTCATTAGTATATATATATATCGTCAAATAGAACTGCCCGGTAAACCGTAGGCAGAGAGGGAGAAGAGGACAACAAACGAGGGGCTGTGACAAACTGTTTCGTCGGAGTTTCACCGACATATATATATAAATACGACGATATATCATCACAACGATATCAGAGCGCAAAAACGAAAAAAAAAACAAGAAAAAAATCAATTCATTTTTTATCTTCTTACTTACAACTCCCCCTGTTCAGAACCTCTTGCGTACAAGGCCGCCCACGTGGATGTAGGTTGAGCGGCAACTGCCCCCACCCCCGTGTGTCATATGACATATATATCGTCACATGAATATCAGAGCGCAAAGGCGAAAAAAACAGAAGAAAACAAGAAAAAAATATTTTGTTTCTTTATCTTCTTTCTTACAACTCCCCCTGTTCAGAACCTCTTGCGTACAAGGCCGCCCACGTGGATGTAGGTTGAGCGCGGCTGCCCCCACCCCCGTGTGTCATATCGACCCACTTGCACACAGCCAAAGGGCAAAGAGGCAAAGAAAAGAGGAAGGGAGCGCAGCCAAATACAACAAAACAAAACAGGGGGCAACAAACAATAGCACCAAAAAAAAACAGATCCTAGATGACAAGTTCCACATGCAAGCACCGCCCCTCCCTCCTTCACAGGCCAAACGACAGGACAAGACCACCCAGGACAAAACTTTTGTCTGCAAAAAAAGAAAAATCCCAGATTACATATCTATATACAGCAGATGGCCTTGTTCGTCATCA